TGACAGTTTTGGAGGCTGAAAATCTAAGACCAAGCAGCCCAATAAGTTCAACCTGTGATGAGGGCCTAATGGCAGATGGCTTGATGGCAAGTACATGGGTAAGACAGATCACAGTGAGACAGGAAGCCAGAGGAAGATTTAAAGGCCACTTTGCTCTTAGTAACTCAATTCCTTTCAAGRAAAGCACTCTCCCAATGCCCTGAACACTTCAAAGCAGGCCTCATCTCTTAAAGGTTCCAGACCACATCATATTTCTACACTAAAACCAAGCTTTCACACATGAAACCTTGGGGACAAGCCACATCCAAACCATAGCAGTGTGCTTTTGGAATCATTAAAAAAAAAAAAAAAAAAAAAAACTTATCGCCCAGGTAAATGTAATAGAAATTCTAGCCACATTTTCTTCTAGTCATTTTATAATTTGAGGTGTAAGTTAATCTATTTTCAGTTGTTGTTTTGTTTTTATTTTTTTGTATATGGTATAAGCTGATGCTCTAATTCCATTTTTCTTCATGTAAATATCCAATTTTCTCAACACCATTATTGAAAAGATTTTCCATTGCCCATTTTGTCACCTTCATTGAAAATCAACTGACTATAAATGCATGGATTTCTGTTTGGGCTCTGTATTCTGTTCTATTGGTCCACCTGCCTGTTTTGGTACCAGGACCATGCTGTTTTGATTGCCAYAGTTTTGAAATCAGTAGTGTGATGCCTCCAGCTTTGTTCTTTTTGTTCAAGATTGCTTTAGTTCCAATAGTTCTCAAAAAGAGTTGTGTGATAGCTACAGAAGTCTCTCAAAAATTTAAGCAATCTACAAACTGGAGAAATTTATATATGTGTGTATGTATACATATGTATTTACATTAACAAAATATCGGGGGAATAATAAATCTTTTATATGATCATTTAAATAATGGGTTAAAGCCAAAGATTTCTTTGATGCTTAGTACTTCTCTAAATTAATGACCTCCTAGTAAGTGTTTATCACCTGGTTTTGAAAACATTTTTGTGATTGATTTGATTATAAAAACATTGTCATAAAAGGGTATGTAAGACTAAATTAAAAGCCTTATGAGCCTGCAGTACAGTCTATTCAGCATTTTAATTTAACATCCTCTACTCAATACTCTATCAATTAGAACATCTAGGAAATCTGATATAACAAATGTTCAAACAATAACTACAACACAAAAAAATATCTGATTTTTTTGGTTGTTGTCATTGTTGTTTTTACTGGGGATTGAACCCAGGGGTACTTAACCACTTAGCCACATTCCCAGACTTTTTTATTTTTTAATTTTGAGATAGGGTTTCACTAAGTTGCTTAGAACCTCACTAAATTGGTGAGCCTGGCTTTGAACTTGTGATCTTCTAGCCTCAGCCTCCCAACTTACTGGGATTATAATCATGTACTACTRCACCTGGCCAAAAACATCTGATTCTTAAAAAGTATTTCTTGTTATAAAAATACTGTACTAATTTAAACAATAGGATCAAGTTTAGTGTTAAACCTGAAATAGGATGTATATATACATACATTTAATATGTAGATTGCTGACATTTTCTTCCTTTAAATTTTCCTTATTTTACAAGTACAATGTGCTATTGTAGTACTACAAAAAGCAAAAAGAAAAAAAAATGGCACATTCAAAATATCTGAGTTTGTATATTTGAGGAGCTAATTGCAATATTCAATTGGAGATATAAATTTTAAAATCAATTCTGACACCTTTTGAATGACTAGACAGGTAACAATAGTCACATATATCACAGATTCCTTATATTTAGTGGAAGGATTAGAACTGTCAAATCAATAGATTATGGTAGGAAGCAACTGTTTTATGATAGAGATGATATTCTAATGCTTAAAAAAAATAAAAAAGACCTGGGGCTATGCATAGTTCAACATTGGGGGGCAAAGTGGCATTAGATTTAAAATTTTAAAAACACTGAATCATTTTATATCCATCTMTTTTAAACTGGTTAACCAGCTATAACAGAAGAAAAATACTTATATTAAACAAGGAATTAATGTCACTAATAATAATTTCATTTTATTTTCTTAATCATTTTTCCCCATTATATTTAATTTATTTATTTTTATGTGGTACTGAGGAATGAACCCAGGGCCTCACACATGCTAGGCAAGCACTCTTCCAGTGAGCCACAACCCCAACCCTAATGATAATTTTAGATAATTAATGATCAAAAGTCCTATTTCATTAAAGCCAGCAATGTGGTGTCTTCTTTTTTCATTTCTAATAATGCAACATAACTTCAGGGATTTCATGAAATTAAAAAAAGATCATAAATGGGGCTGGAGATGTGGCTCAAGTGGTAACGCGATCGCCTGGCTTGCATGGGGCACTGGGTTCGATCTTCAGCACTACATAAAAATAAAGGTGTTGTGTCCACCGAAAACTGAAAAATAAATACTAAAAAATTCTCTCTCCTCTTCTCTTTAAAAAAAAAAAAAAGATCATAAAGAATATCAATATTTTGTATAATTTTCTGATTCTACCTATATAATAGTTTGCTGACAATGGAAAATGAAAAAAACTTCCAGAAACAAGCAATTAAACATAATGGGTAATATATGCTCAATAAAAGAAATACATAGGAAGCTCATGACTTACAAGAGTGCACAGATTCCAGTTTGCCACTGTTTTAAAACAAATAGTAAAAAAACTCATTATGTGTACTCTGACCATTCTTTTGGTCCACCTCCATCAATAAACATTACTCATAGTAGGGTAATATAATGAGTGTGCTTTAACTTCATAGTGCCTCTCAAAATCTTTTTATAGAAGAAAATCTGATTCATGCACATAAATGCAAAAATCATTAATATTTTATTTTTGCTGTTCTGTTTTTGCAGTGTTGAGGACTGAACTCGGGGCCTTATGAATGTGAGGCAAACATTCTATCATTAAGCTATATCCCCAGTCCTCTTTAATAATTTGGATTTTTCTCCCAAAATAAATCTCTATTTCTCCATGTGCCATCTGTTTTTCTAAGTGTGTACTACCTGCATCAGAGTCACCTAAAGTACTTAGAAAAAGAAAGATTTTTGCATTGCCATYCCTGGACATATTAAATTTGAGAGATTTGAGGTCCTCAAATCATTTTTTGTAAGTGCCAACTGATTCTTATGTACGCTGATGCTTGATACTTTGATTATATGCAATTTAGGTTCTAAGTAGTTTGAGAACAAGAATGATATAATTTCTTCTGTAATTACCCAACACAGAAAAGCCCCATAGAGAATGCTCAGTATCAATTTGTATTCAGAAATCTTAAAATACCACTCACATAGAGTACAGAGGTCATAATTCATAACCGAATGGTTGTTCTGGGATGTAAAAACCCAGAATGTGAAAACCTGCAGAACATGAGCATTTTAGTATTTGAATCAGAAAAGCCTCATAAGTAATTTGAGTGCAACCTTGATAGTAAGTATCATAAGATGCAATATTAGTATTTGAATATGCAATATATAATTTCACATGATTCTGCACAAACCAACTTCTGTCATTTTGACCAAAGCTATCTTTAATACATAAAAAAACTATTTATTAAATCTGTAAGAGTTAACTTTAAGCTTATATTTTAAATCTCTAACAATTATCAATAGCCACGACAAGGATTAATAAAAATATGTAGTTCAGAATAATGGTTTCATTGTGAAACAACAACTTACAATAGGTCCAAAGAGAATAAAAAAGGTTAGGAAAAGAAGTTACATACAGCAAACTGTTGCTGCTAATAGAAGCTACAGAGCAAGACACAGGAAGTACAATTTTAAACCAAATATGTTCTTCACAACTCTGAGCATTAACTGGAAATGAATGATTTTTATCCAAAGCAATGAATCAAGTACACTAAAGGTAAACCTAAAAGATCATTTTCTTTCTTTTGACAAGGTAATTACATTATAATTACACCACTTATATCACAATATAAATATAAAAACAACAATGCTACAGGTATCCAGTATAAAACATAGTATCAGATGTAATCCACAGGACTGTGTAGTACAAACTACTGCAAGATATGGAAACATTATCTATTGGTATTCCCATCAGCATAATGATAGCAACTATTTAAGTACTACTTGAAGGTTTTCATTTACATATAGTATGATACTTGTTGCTTCTCACTAAAGTTTTCTACAACCAGTGTAAGCCAACATATGGAATGTTAAGAATATATTCACATTAACAGCATGATCATCTTCCTTTGATTTTTTTGAGATGGGGGTCTTGCACTGTTGCCCAAGTTAAACTGGAACTCCTGGTCTCAAAAAATTTTCCTATCTTAACCTCTCCATTAGCTGAGATCCCAGGAGCTCATATGCAGACCGGTTTTCTAAGTATGTACTACTCATGCCAGAATCACCTACTATGTTTATGAAAAGAAAGATTCTTGCATTGCTATCCCCAGACTTACTAAATTTGAGAGGTTTGAGATCCTCAAAACCTCAAATCCACTGCAGTTGGTTTAAATCTTTCATGAAATCTGCCAACAAGAGAACCCATATTGTACTGAACGTAAAAAATGGAGCTACAAACATCTGGGCTTGACTCTGCTCTTGTCAGAACATTTTTAGCTTGAAAATTCTATGGTAACATCTAGATTACCCTTATAAAACAGGTAGCAATAGCACCTATGAAATTTTAATTGCAATTAAAGAACAAACGAAAAGATCTGATTTTTTTCTTATGGAAGAAAAATAATCATATATTCTTACTTTTTTAGAGAAATATCAAAGTAATCTAAAACAAAGTACATTCTTGGATGAAACAACACAAATGGCCAAGCAACTCTTTTGTTAAGAGTAGGGTATCATTAAAATTTAATCCAGCTATATCCAGTAAATTGACAGGAAAGAATAAACACATGGTTGTCTGCCAACACAATGCTTCAGTGTATCCACAAAATAGAGGTATATGTAACCTCCAAATCAAATCTATGTATTAAATTACTTAACTACTTACCCACAGTATACCAGCTAGCATCTGTCAACTTGCTGATAATAGCTTCCTGAAAGGATCCATCAGATGTCCTGGTTTCAACAACAGCTCCAACCTAAAATATAAAACCCAAATTTCCTTACCAAATTTAAACAAACAAATCAAATCACACCCACCATCTACATTATCTGGGTAAGAAAAATAATACTTATAATAATTCTTCCTTACTGTAGCTTAGATCTTTATCATTTATGGTGCTCCTATCTTCATTATGTTATTTGACCCCAAAGTACTTTGGCTTAAGTAAGGTAACTATTATCATCCCTATTTTATAAATTGAAAATTATAGCTCAGAAAGAGAAAATAATTTGCAGATTCCAGAATGAGAACCCAGTCTCTTAAATCTTACTTTAGAGCTTTTATATATCACACTGCCTTCAAGAAAATTAAATAAGAACCATAAAAATATAAGACAACCAAAATAGTCTCAATTTTCTTTCATAGAAATATTGAATATTGGACTCAGCATTTGCATTTAAGGGACCTTTTAGATAAAGGTTCACCTGGAGACAGAAGGATGGACCAGTTGACCTTCTTTCAGCTTCCAGACCTTTGTATATCAGATAATAACCGAAGTGGTACTCTGACATAACAAAGATTTATTACATAAACAAATGGCCAGAAATGGACGGAACACATAATAAAGGTATTCATTAAATTGAATTATGAAATGAACATAGTTTACTTGATAAATCAGAACAACAGAAGATTCAAGCTTACAACACTGGTATCTAACTTAGCAGGCATCATCTCAGATACGGCAACRATTTTAAAAAAACAAATTCAGTCTAACAATTTAAAACAAAGGATGGGCGAAGATTTAACATATTTATATGTATATTAAATTACCCTGATGTTAGATGCTTGACCTTCTTTTAAAGATACAATTATTGCAATATCACAATTTATACTAACTATACAAATATTGCAAATCATAATTTATACTAACCACACAAATATCTCATTTGTATTTTTATTTTCTGTTTAACATTCTTTTAAAATGTTGATTATAAAATTAAATTTGGTAAGTTATGGTATGAGTTTACAATTCATTATTTTCGATATTAAACTGTATAACATACGTACTCTTAAAGGACCCTTTACTTGATCATCTTGCACCAATTGTGTTGTATTATCTTGTTTCAGGAGTACCTGAAAAATATTTTTGCACAATAATTTGCATGCTTCAGTTTAAAACAATACATTCATGTTAACACTGTAGCAACCATGTCTTTAAGGGCCCTTTCTTAGTATCCTGTGGTTACCTCTGATTATTACACTGTCTTATATTTATGCTTATTGTCCCTCTCATCATTAACTAGAGTTCCTTGTGAGCCAGAGTCTTCCTTTTATTACTAAATCCCCAGCAGTAGGCCAGTATCAATGCATATTATAGGCATTTAATAACTTTGCTGAGTGAATGAACAATAGAAAATTTATAATCTATAATGATTACTTTAAACTTTAAAACTAACTTTAGTGCATTTTATCAATAAGTCATAAGTCATTAGAGATTCTGGTTGTTATCAAATATTTTCTTAAAAAGGTATCAAACTTTGGGGGGGGGAGCATGGGAGGAATGGAGGAACTTTAGGTAGGGCAAAGGGGAGAGAGAGGAAGGGAGGGGATATGAGTGTAGGWAAGATGGTAGATGGACACCATTACCCTAAGTACATGTATGAAGACACAAATGGTGTAACTCTACTTTGTGTACAACCAGAGACATGAAAAATTGTGTTTTATATGTGTAGTATAAATTCAAATGTATTCTGCTGTCATGTATATCAAATTAGAATAAATTTAAATTTTTTTTAAAAAGGTATCAAACTTTACTGCCTACTTAAATCCAGAGGTCCTTAATCTGAACAATAATCATGAGCAAATTCAGTTACAAAATAGTTCCTTTCTAATTCTCCTTTCTCCCTTCCTCCAAAATCCTTTCCTCCCAAATATATAGGGTAACCATCCCAAATAAAGCAATCACACAAATGAGCAAATTCAAATTCTAGGTAATGTTGATATGATAAAAACAATCCTAAAATTATCACTGTACTGATTGTCAGTAAATGAGAGCCACAGGGAAAAAAAAAGTAAAAATAATCAAACTCTACCATAAATATTTAGTAATCGAATCTTATGATTAAAAGACTATTAAAACAAAGAAGAAATGAACACCAAACAATATCCTAACCATACTTACAGAAAAATTTTAATGGCAGATCAAAATTTAAATAAAAAACTTATAAGAATCATGAAAAACTCTACCACACAAATCACATTTCTCTAGTTCAATGATTCTCAACATTTAACATGCACCAGAAACATTTGGAGTGCTTGTTAAAACACAATTACTGAACTTTACCCCCAGAGTTTCTAATTTGCAAACAAGTCAGAAAAGGGCCCAAGAATTTTCAGTGTGAATAAGTTCCCAGTTGAGGCTGATGCTGAATGTTTGGGAGTTACACTTTTCGAGTCACTGCTCCAGTTCATTCATTTATTCAACAAATTTTAAGAACCTGTTATGTATTAAGCCCTATTGTAGGTGTCAGGGATAGAACAAGTCAGATGTTTCCTCTTTTTGGTGCTTAATTCTGGTAGGAAAACATTAGATATGTAAATGAATAAAAGCAAATTGCAAACTACARGTACAGCATGATCCAAGAATAACAACAATAATGAGAGGCACATTACAAAACCTAGAAGATCACATTGAATCTCTTTGGAATGTTATCACGGAGGCTCATGTATAATGTTAAAAATATTTTTATAAACAGGAACTTTTGCATTTAAATAACAAAGACTGACAGAAACTATACTTATATAGGAAAAATTACTAGAAGGAAACAAAAATTGTTAACAGTGTTTCTGAAAAGTAAGCTATAAGTAATAATTCACCTGTATTTTCTGTATCTCCAAATATTATACAGTAATATATTAATCTAATTTTTTTCTGGTCATAAAAACATCTTAAAAATCAACTTTTGATTCATTTTTAATGTTGTCTTAAAAACACAATTCCCACTGTACTGTTCTAATTACTGAAACAGTCTACCCGAACATTATGAAAGGGGAGAAAACAGATTATAATAAGTATGCTACTATAAACAGGAAAGATCCAAATAATAGGAGTATCATGAGCGTGGTATTTTGATAGAAGCATCTTGGAATAATTTCTCATTTGAAGTTATTTSTCAATTTTTAACATGTGCTTTTCCTATAAACTTAGTGTATAACAGTGCTTTCACATATTATAGGTTCAATAAACAAAATATTTTCATTCTTCCCCTCTAGATAAAAAAACTCTAATCTTTTAATCTAGTTAATGAACCTGTTACATTAAAAAACATACACATATATGCATACACATATATTACCTTAACTTTCACCAGCCTTTTCACCGTTTTAATCTTTGCCTCACAGAAGGCACCTCGGTACTTGGCACTGACATCCGTTCCCACTGTCAGGTAGGCAGGCTCATCCGCCGCCTGATGAAAGGAACATAAAACTGTGAATGTCAGTACTATTTTCCCTAACCCAGCCTAAGGCAGCATTAAAAAGTTCTGTGTTTAAAGCAATGAGAACATTAAACAGTATTTGCTTATTAATATCATTGATAATTTGAATACCCCCAAAACAAACATTTTATTAACAACATTTCATTTTATATACCAATTTCCTAATATCATAAAATGTTTAAAAGTGTAATTAAAAAATATCAGAAAGGAAATTCAATAACGTTTATTCTCCACATACAAATGTCTTGTAAAAAAAAAGCTAATATTTGCATAAGAAACATAAAAATAAGAGAAAACAAAAAAATCTATTAAATGTCTCATAAAACTTATTCATGTATGGCCTCCCATAATTGTTTTCAAATTAAAAAGAAATATTTCTRCTGAATCTAACACTAACAGTACATAATTAATTGGTTGATAGAGCTGTTAAAAGGCAACATTGTTTTAGATGTAGTATACCTACACAGATAAGAAGTCAACCTCTTTTGGAAAATTCATTGGCTAAAAGCTGTAAAGGAAAGGTAAAGTCTGAATTCAGCTGATGAATGTATATATGACCTGATGGTTCAGGATTTCATCCATAACTAGTTTACTACACTGGTCTTCTTGGTATTTAAAAAAAAAAAAAAAAAAGCTTTACTAAGAAATATCTACTTTCATTTTATTTTAGGTCCTGGGGATTTAACTCAGGAGCACTTTACTACTGAGCCACATCCCTAGCACTTTTTATGTTTTATTTTGAAACAGGGTCTCACTAAGGACTTGCTAACCTGCTGAGAGTGGCTTTGGACTCAGGATCCTCCTGCCTCAGCTTCCCAAGTTGCTGGGATCACACGCATGTGCCACCACCATCAGCTAGAAATATCTATTTTAGCAAATGGCCATGATACTTTAAAAGATGAGAAATTTCGAGAGTTACAGAATGATGCTATTTCAGTCTGTCATTTTACCTATCTCTTCAAAAGTTATGCATATTCATAAGTTCAATTCAACATCACTAGGTGCAAAGGTAACCATGTTTACTTTATTTATATATTTTTAAATAGAAAACAACTGTGCTCATTTTCCAGTAAGTTTTCCCAAGTATTATTAGAGAAGGTGAGATGTGTCACTTATTTCAAGAAAACAGGAAGATGAGAGAGTTCAGGAAAATGTTACCTTTTAGAGCTTAAGGTGCTAAAACTGTGAATAAGACATGGATCAGGTATAGACATAGATAAAGTCAAGGGCATTTACAAAGAATGCAAACTGGAGAATATGTGTGACAAATAAAAATCTAACCAGAAATACAAATATCTCCAGAAATTGCTATGAGATCTTCCTTTCCTTTTTAAACATCTATGTTTCCAAGATTAGGAGTCTTCAGAAGAATGTGCATGTGTGTGTGTATTCAAGGACGGATATATTTTTAAAATATTTACTATAAAGACTAAACTAAAACTAAGTATTAATTGTTTTGAGTTCAACCTCAAATATGGTAACTGTAGAAATCTGCTTTGTCTACCAAGAAGAAAATGATATCTCTTTTACTCAATTCACATATTCTTTCTCTCAGAAATCACATTGGGAGAAAAATCACACAAGAAAAAAAATATATTTTCAAAAAATTCCCCAAAGAACCAAAGCAAGACAAAAGCTCTACTTCTGCAAAGGTTACTGCCAACACAGGAAGTGTTTAAAAATACTAGCCGAATGGACAACAATTGAAAGGCTGGCCCAGCCTTTCCAAAGTGCTAACTGCTACAGGAGAGCTGAACTGACTGCATTACAAATATTTCTCACCATTCACATGTTCCCATTTCCAAAAGTGCTGCTTAGTGGAGAAATCAATTTTAAGTAACAAAAAGATGACATTCCAAGGCACCAGCCTCACCACTGGCAGTGTCCAGGGCACGAGGTTCAGACGAGTTGATTCTACTTACCTTCATTTTTACTGGTGATCTGTGGGGTTCCAGCTCAACGAGTTATCTTCGCTGTCGCTAGAACCGTGGAGAGGGGAGACAGGCACAGAATCAGTCAACAGCGGGGAGCGACCCAGGAAAAGAAAGTAAACAAACGCCAGCGGGGAGGGGCAGAACCCTCAGCAGCCAAAGGATAAGACCCCCTCGGAGGGCAGCCAGGACGCAGGAGCCGAGAGGGCAAAGAGAATCCCACCGGCGCCAAAGGGCAGCCTGGTCCACCCCAGAGCTCCGCAGCGGCCCACCGCGCCCCCGCTTCGCTGGTCACTTTGATCTGGAATGCTCAACTCCGAGCCCCTGGACTGATCGCCCTGGAAAAGGGCAGGGCACGATCTGGGCTTCCCCGGGTCTTCTAGACGGGCGACCGCCGAGCCTCCACTCAGCCGCCCCCCGGATACCCAGACTTCGTCCCGCGCCCCGCCTCCGCCGCTCGGCCCCCTCGGCCCGCCCCGGGCCCGCGGTGGCGGCAGCGGAGTGTCACGGCGCCATTGCTCTCCTTCCTTCGCTCTGCACCATGTCAGAAGGAGAAGCGCTCCTTCACCCGAAGGGGCAGGGGCGGCGGCCTGCTGCCCGGAGCCGCGAGCTCAAGGGGAGCCCAGCGCAGAGGAGGGGGCTGGGGGGCGGGGAGGAGGAGGGGAGGTGGCCCGGACAGGGTAGGGTGTGGGAGGGGAGGGGAGCCGCACAGCGGCAGCCGCCGCCTCCTCCCGCGCCCGCCTCAACTTTTTGTACAGCCCGGAGAGATACCAGCCCCCCAGCCCCTAGCCCCCCGGGTCCTGCCATGGACTTCATAGAGAAGGACGCACCACGGAGTTGGGGGCCGACTCCCCCAAGCAGCCGGCTTCTCACCGCGAGGAAGCAAACTTAGCGGCGCGGCCAGCCCCACAGCCATTTTCCCGGGTAACCGGGGGAAGCGGCCGAGGAGGGGGCTGCCGCGGCGGTTCCTGCAGTTGCTGCCGCTATTCCCTGACTTGCCACTTCTCCTGCGCTCGCTGCACCGCTTGCCTAGCATCTTCCTCCCTTCCTCCAAAGCTTCCAACTGCACCGGGACCCCGGGCAGCAGCACCAGCTGCTACTGCCGCTTAGACCATTCAGTATACCCGCTTCCCTTCTCCCCACCTTACCTACTGAGGGTGAAGTGCGAGCTGTCAGCTCTCGAGTCCTCCACCCCACTGATCGCCGTGGGCCCCCGTCCGGGAAACACCACTCCGGGCCGCGGCGGCAGTTCCTGCGCCGGATTCCCCACTCGCCCCGATTTACTGCCACAATCCACCAAATAACAAGCTGTTGAGCAGACTCTCTTCTACACGAACTCCTATTGGCTGCCCATGACGCCGAAGAGCTTTGGATTGGAGCTCGTTACCTGCCGTTCTCATTGGATGTAGATGTGAAACTTCATGGATTGGTGGGGAAAACAGCAGGTAGGATATCTTCCACTTATGATTGGCTGTCTTCGAAGCCCAACCTTATTGGAGAATCAGAGATTGAGTAAGCAAGTCCTGAGAAATGATTGGGAGAGACGACTCCGGATGTGCTTGACTGAGCACTGATTGGTGCATTGAAGGGTCAGGAAGAGCAGTTCCACACGAGGATTGGCGGTGAAGTGTCCCATGGAAACGGAACCCAGAACTGCAGCCAGGAGCTTGCACGGGGGCGGGGCAGGGTGTTTCCAAGGCGCCTGCGCTAAACTAGCTTCTCGGCGCCATTTTGTCCCGGCAGCAGTGGTCGCAGCTCTATCGCATTTTATGTTCCTGGCTGGAGGAAGCGGAGTTTTCAGCCGGTAGATTTATTTTAATGTGGCGCCCATTCAACGTTCGCTCCGGGACAGCACTCAATGAAGACCGGTGGAGTCTCAGAGCTTTTGAAAAGGTGAGTTGGAGGCTATGGTTGTCCGACTGACTAGGGGATGGCGCAGCTTTAGCGGCACCGGCACCGGAAGTGAAGGGGCCGCAGGCGGCCATGGTTAAAGTAAGTTTCCCCGCCGTGGGGTGGAGTGTGGGGGCGGGGTGTAAGGGGGCGAGGCTTCCTCTCCCGCCGAGGAAAGAGAAAGGCTGAGGAGGCTGACTCGTGGTCCTGGGAGGTAATCCTGTGGTCCCTACTCAAGAGAATGAGCGGTGTTCTGGATTTTTCTCCGAGCAGTCTTTCCTCCCTTTGGAAGTGCGTTTCAGGGACTTGTCATATTTTCCACCAGAGACGTTACCGCCGTAGGGGTGTCCTTGTTAACACAGGGAGGATATGGTTCTTTGAAACCTCTTGCGTTGGGGGAGGTGTTTTCCTCCTACCCCTCCCATATGAAGCTTGGAGGAAGCTAGCAGGCTCTGGCATTTAGAATGCCAAGGAATTTACTTGCTGGTTCAGAGGCTGCTACTGTGACCTTAGTCAAGATGAGTGTCACTGTGCTCGTCGAGGCTGCTTTGTGAAAGAGACTAGCAATACCTCTGCAACTGAAAATACCTCTGTTGAAAGGACTTCCCCTATGGTACCTGCATGGAGCTGTTGGCAACACTTTGTTAAAGCAGTCAAGAACTGACATATTCTAAATAGTGCATCTGGGTTATTGACACTTATAAAGAATGTARTATCTTTTGACAGTCAACACCGACTAAATTTGCACAAGAGGACACTTTAACGTAGAATTGATTTTTTGCCAAGTTGATTTTTCTCAAAATTGTTCATTAAAAATGTGAAACATATGTATTTCCAGTGAGTGACCTAGTCATACTTAACTGAATAGATGCGTGGGCCTCAAGACTAGAGAACAGTTGAGTGATTTAACAACTCTTTGGGGTTTTTTGTTTACTTTTTGTTTTTGGCAGTTGGTTGAAGACAACATATCAGTGGCAAACAGCTCAAGTATGATAGAGGTGAGTTCTAATATCAGTAAGACTCTACAATTGAGTGGACCACCAGGAAAAGTTTTCTGTGGACTAGTAAATAAATACTAGAAAGCAAGAATGGTAGTTGAAAGAGGTTTTATTTGGTCAAGGGTTCAAATAAGTCTGCTTAATTAGCTTCAGATGTGATGTTTGAAATCCCCAAATTAGGACATCCTCAGAATTGTTTACCTATTCATGTAGTTCTTATTTCTGGACTTCAGAGCGCTTCATGTTTTTATGAAGGAACATTGTATATTTTTATAACCCCTCCCCCCCATTTAAAAATTTCTTATACAGAGAGCAATAAGCAAGTTTAAGAGTGAGGTGATTTTGTTTAAAAGGTAATTATAAAACAGTAGAATAATATCAAATTTCCCAGGGGGCATTCACACATAGTTTATATTACCAACTTTTATAGAGTTATTATTTGATATAAATATGCACTGCGTGTCAGTGATCTTTTGGAAATTACTGAAAAACCCAAAGAAGATAAAAATTTCTTGTATTTCTTTTTTTTAACATTTATTTTTTAGAAGTAGTTGAACACAATATCTTTTATTTATTCATTTATATGTGGTGCTGAGGATAGAACCCAGGGCCTCCAATGTGCTAGATGAGCGCTCTACCGCTGAGCCACAACCCCAACCCCAACCCCCCAAATTTCTTCTATTCTACCGAATGATAGTAATTACAGTTCATACTGTGCAGAGGGTTATTTTGATGGTTTAAAATATCATTCTAGGGCTGGGGTTGTGGCTCAGAGCTTGTCTAACATGTGCAAGGCCCTGGGTTTGATCCTCAGCACCACATAAAAGTAAATAAATAAAATAAAGGTATTGTGTCCAATTACAAATAAGACATATATATATATATATATATATATATATATATATATAATTTTAATTGTACTTATTTTTTACCCACTGGGAACATCAGAAATAATTTATCCATAAAGCATCTTTCATGGCCTCATAGTGTTAGATAGGACAGATGTACCATAATTTATATGACCTGTTTTGTTTACTTTTCTATAATAGCACTAATATGTCAGTGAATATCCTTGTACATATCAGTGATAAAATTTCTAGGCATGTAGATCTTCTAGCATGCCCCTAATTAATTTTTTGTAATAAATTCCCAGAAGTGAAAATATAAGGCCAAAAGAATTGTACATTTGAGGGTTTGGATACATGTACAATTGTACATCAGAAAGCTCTCTTGCCTTATGATTTTATTTGTTGTCCTTTTTTTTAATTAAAACCTTCCACCCAGTTTTCTGTTTATTCTTTATTTCTGACATCTGTTATTCAAATAGAATTATTACAGTTTTCTTTTTTTTTTCCCCTCAAGGAGTTAATACTCAAGTCAATTGAGTATTACTACTTTGTGTTTCCATGCAGCCTTCCCTAAAGTTTCTCATATTTACATATACATTCCCTTAGTGCTATTGTAGCCTCATAGCGCCCTTTACATACCTTTCACCTCACTTTCTTTGCAATTATTTGCCTCTTCTCCGGTTTAAGAATGTTCCCAAAAGGCAGCAACTGTTTTTAATTACCAATATGTTCCTCCTGGTACATTGTAAGATATTGAGTCTGTATGCACAGTTGTATACAAAATGTGAGAAATAATAAGCTAACATAACATTTTAATAGTACTTTTGAAAATTAATGATGTTCTACAGATGCCAAGGTAACCTTCAGATTTTTAAATGTTCCAAATACTTAATATTCAATTGATTTGTAGTTATTAATAAAATACATATTTATAGAACCCATTAATAATGTATCAATATAATTTTCTTAAGACTTTATTCATCAATCCTTTAAGGATTTTAAATCTTAATAGAAGGCAACTGCAGATAAATATTAACTGAAGAGTTACTAGACAATATTTTTCATAGACATAAATGAAGGAAATTATAAAATTGCACATCTTTTTAAATATTTATTTTTAAATTATAGTTGGACACAATACCTTTATTTTATTAATTTATTTTTATGTGGTGCTTAGGATCGAACCCAGGGCCTCGTACATTTTAGGTCGGTGCTCTAGTGCTGAGCCACAACCCCAGCCTAAATTGCACATCTTTATAACTTAGTGAACTTGACTAACGAGAGTAATACTTCATACAGAATCAAAATGTCAAATTATTAGTGATGTTTCAGTGATATAAAACTATTTTTGAAAGAATGTTTTATTTATGGATTAGTGCCCTATGAGGTATTTTTTACTAAAATCTAAGGACATCCTTATATTTGTTTAACCATTCATGTCATTCCTGATTCTGTTTTTTTTTTTTGTTTTTTTTTTTTTTGAGGCAGGGACTTGCCATGCTTCCTAGACTGGCTTCAAACTCCTGAGTTCAGATTTTCCTCTTGCCTCAGACTGTTGGGTAGCTGGGACTACAGGCATGCACCACCAGGACTGGCTTCCATTTTTGAATTTTTAAGTAATACTTAATATTTTTATCAAAGAACACCGTGAGCATATCTATGGGGTCCCTCTTTCTTTCTAAAAACTTGAAAAGAAAATTTGACCAGTGAGAGTTCAGCAGTAAGATAATTTTTTTTATAATCGTGTGTATTCTAAATATCTAAGCTATAACATAACTCAAGATTAAAAGAAGTCTTTGTCTTTCAGAATAAGACTGATTTTCTGGGGAAATGAAGCTATGTATCCCAGTTTTGAAAGGCTTGAATCTGCTGGGTCTTGAAAAATCCCATTTCTGGTGTGTAATTTTAGTTTATCCTTAAATAATCAAGGTTGGTCCTGTGTGTGTGTAAAAAATAATRGAATTTATTCCATTGTGCAGTTATTTCTGGAAATATCAGTATATGTTCAGAATAGAACTGATTGTTGAGTAGAACTGATTCCTAGACTTATTTTTGAGAAATTACATAATTTGCTTATTATCAAAGCATACATTTTAATCTATATTGTCTTTTGCTCTATCTAATCAGCTCTAAAATCAGCTCACTGATGATTTTATGGCCACATGAAGTCATAGATAATGATGTTTTTCTACATATAATTAAAAATAGAATAACAGCATACTTAGGATTTGGATTTATGCAGATCTGGTTACTAAATGGCTTTTCTACAAGGATCTGTGCTTGAGAAACTTACTGTCAATAAAAGAGAACATAATTAAACATGAAAAGTTAGTCTAAATACATGCTTCAAAAGATTTAAGAAAATTAGATCTTTATTTAAAGATTTAAATAATAATAAAGTTCTCTATACAGTCAAGGAGATCTAGAAATTTTTAAGAAACATTGCTTTAAGAAAGAGCAGAGGAGCTGGGGATATACATATATATACATGTGTATGTAAGAGTGTGTGTGTGTGTGTGTGTGTGTGTGTGTGTGTGTGTAGGTGTATACATGTCCATCTGTGGTAAAGAACATAGTTAGCATGTATAGGGTCTCGGGTTAGATCCCCAGCACCATTAAAACACAACAGTAGAAGGAAATTTATTGGTGTTTGAAGACTTTTTAAGGGTAATGATATATAACCTGTAAAATTAGAAAGAAAGAAGACTTTATAATTGGATGGAAGGTTGTGAGCAAGAATGTGATTATATAAGAAAAGATGTATTTTGGGCAGTTGGTAAACCAGTTAGGTAAAGATCTTGTAGCAATACATATAGAGGTATCAAGAAAGATTTACTAGCTGGGCGCAGTATCTCACACCTGTAATCCCACTGCCTCGGGAGGCTTAAACAGGAGGATCACATGTTCAAAGCCAGCCTCAGTAACCACAAAGCACTAAGCAGCTCAGTGAGACCCTCTCTAAATAAAATACAAAATAGGGCTCAGGATGTGGCTCAGTGGTTGAGTGCCCTTGAGTTCAATCTCTGGTACACACCCCCCCCCCAAGAAAAGAAAGATTTACTAGCTGGGCACAGTGGCATGTGCCTCTGGAGGCTGAGGCAGGAAGATCACAAGTTCAGAGCCAGCCTCAGCAAAATCAAGATACTAAGCAACTCAAGTGAGATCCTGTCTCTAATAAATAAAATAAAAAATAGGGCTGGGGATGTAGCTCAGTGGTAGAATGGTAGTGTTCAATACCTGGTAACACTCCCCACCCCCCAAAAAAGCTTTACTTAAAAAGAATTTGAACATGTAAAGATCCTTGTGGTTGGAATATTATCCAAAAAAAAGAAAAAGAGAGAGAGAAAGAAAAGGGAAATTATCTTAAAAAGAAGGGGGGGGAATGCAACATGTTTTTCACCTATTAAGAAAAATACTTACTACAGACTACTCAATACCAGTAACTAAACTCACATGGAGGGTGATAGTGTAAATTAGTATAGACCTTTTCAAAACGTCGTTAATAACGAATGACCCTTTAAATTAATCCTAAGAGAACAGACCAAAACACAGATAATTAGCATTTTTATTAATATGTGAAAAACATGTTGCCTTTTTTCCTTCTTTGTAAGACTTTTGTTGTTAGTGAGGTGGGACCTTTTTCCATGATTTCACTTAATTCTTTTTTTTTTTTTTAATCATTCTTCCAGTATTTTTTTAATATATATTTTTTAATTGTAGGTGGTGGACACAATAGCTTCATTTCATTTTTATGTGGTGCTGAGGATTGAACCCGGTGCCTCACAAGTGCTAGGCGACCACTCTATCACTGAGCCACAAGCCCAGCCCCACTTAATTGATTCTTACACAAGATGAGCCTTCTAATTATAGATGGACTCTTTTGATATTTTATTTCTGTTTGCATTGTTATATAACACTTAGTAGTAATTTGCTGCACGTATTTTTGCATATAGATTTCTCTTATATTTTTAGTTTTCCTGAAGGTTTTTAAATAGACACAGGTTAAAATGTACGTAAAATATATTCTTGGAAAATTACTCCAAAATAATGTCCAGAATGATTGAAAAATTGAAGATATTGAATAGGAATTGGAAAGACCAAGACAAGATACTGTTGAGGTAGTGTTAGCAAGAAGTAAATCTAGAGTGGAACCTGGAGAGCAAAGGTAATAAGTGGGCAAGAGCTTATTAGGTTTGGGAGGGGAAGAAAGAGTGGACAGCACTTAGCCTCTAATTATAGAGGTATAAGGAAAAAAAAAAAAGTCACACTTCCAAGATTTAAGGAGAGGGAATAGTTACATTAATTGATTTAGGAAGACCAGAAAGACCACTTGTAGGTAAAAATGATGCAATTTGTTTTTAAAGTCTTTTTTATTGAAAAGTTAAATGTTTTAAATAAGTTCAGGAAAATGAGATGATTCTCTAACTTAAGGAGAAATTAGTTTTTCATTATTGAAACAAAGTAGTTTTATGAAGGCATCTTATAAAGTATGTATTTTTAAAGTAGACACATGGGGTAAAATCTCTTTGCTTTTTCTTCAGTGGACTAATTTTTGCATGTTTTGATATAGTTTGATTTCAGTAGAATATAGAGAGGTAAAAAATACACAAAATATGAATATACACCAAGATCTTTAAATAGCTGAAATCCAAGTAATTAAATTAACATTGTCCTGGGGCTTTGTTGTGGCTCAGTAGTAGAGCACTTACCTAGCATGTGTGAGGTGCTGGGTTCAATCTTTAGCACCACAGAAATATAAATAAGAATAAAACAAAGGTATTGTGTCTGTCTATAACTAAGAAAAAAWTTTTTTTACATTGTTCTTTTTTTAGATATCACTTTTAGGGCTGGAGTTTTGGCTTAATGGTAGATCACTTGCCTGGCATAAGTGAGGCCCTAGGTCAGTCCTCAGCACCTCATATAAATAAATAAAAGGTCCAGCGACAACTAAAAAATTTTTTTWWAAAATAAATCACTTTTATTTTAACATAAAATTTTAATGTTAAATGTAAGAAAATATTTTAATAGTTAGAAATGTCAGAGGGGCTGGGGATGTGGCTCAAGCGGTAGCGCGCTCGCCTGGCATGCGTGCGGCCTGGGTTCGATCCTTAGCACCACATACCAACAAAGATGTTGTGTCCGCAGAAAACTGAAAAATAAATATTAAAAAAAAAAAAAAAAAAAGAAATGTCAGAACAGGCCACATGAAATGGCACATGCCTGTAATCCCAGTGGCTTTGACTGCTAAGGCAGGAGGATCAGGAGTTCAAAGCCAGCTTCAGCAATTTAGCAAGTGCCTCAGCAACTCCCTGAGACCCTGTCTCTAAATATAAAAAGGGGCTGGGGTCATGGCTCAGTGGTTAAGTGACCTTGGGTTCAATCCCCAGTACCAAAAAAAAAAAAATGTCAGAACAAGTGAAGAGTTAACTTTTGTGCACACCTATAATCCTAGTGGCTTGGAAAGCTGAAGCAAGAGGATCACAAATTCAAAGCCAGCTTCAGCAACTTAGTGAGACCTTGTCTCAAAATAAAAAATAAAAAGGACTGGGGATTTGGTCTGGTTTGATYACCCCTGGTTTCAGTCCCTTGTACCAAAAATTTTACAGAGTTAACTTTTAAGTATTCCTCAAGAAAGAGCTTAGTTTCACCAGTTAACCTCTTTTTATTCTTCTACCACCTATTCCCCTTCTGTTCCCAACACACACGCATACACACACACTTGCACAATCACATGCAAACCCTTCCTTTGCCTGTTATTGTGAGGCCTTAAAAAACAAATGTGTGTGTTTTGTGTTTGTTTCTTTTTTTTCCCCCTGTAATTTATCAAGAGAAAAGTTCTGATTTTATGTCAGGGAAAAAGCAAGTCTTCTAAATGATTAGTTAGGTATAGGTAAATCACAATGTTAAATTATTTTTTTCCTTTTTGATTCCACTTTATAGTACCTGACAGGATTTAGGTTTTTCCTATCCCTGTAAGAATAATAGCTGTAAAAATATTTCAGGAAGGGCTGGGATTGTGGCTCAGGTGTACTGGCTCGCTACTACCACATAAATAAAAGATATTGTGTTCCACTACAACTAAAAAATAATATATTAAAAAAAATCCTTCGGGGTGGGCTACAGATGTGCCTCAGTGGAAGAGCATTTGCCTGGCATGTGTGAGGCCCTGGTTTTGATCTCCAGCACCAAAAAAAAAAAAAAAAAAAATTCTGTGGCACATTCCTGTAATCTCAGCAACTTGGAAGACTAAAGCAGGATGATAATAATTTCCAGACCAGCCTGGGCAATTTAGCAAGACCCTATCTCAAAATTTCAAATTAAAAAAAAATAGGACTGGGGATGTATCTCAGTGATAAAGCACTCCTGAGTTCAATCCCCAATACAAAACAACAACAACAACAACAAAAATACAAAAAAACATTCAGGGAGCTGGGGCTATAGATCAGTGGCAGAGTGCTTGCCTAGCATGTGTGAGGCACTGGTTTAAGCCTCAGCACCACATAAAAAGTAAATTAATAAACAAAAAGAGTCTATGTCCCCTTTACAACTAAAAACATATTTTAAAATATTTCTGGAATAGCAAAGAAATACTTCTAGGTTTAGTATGTGAATATGTAGCCAGGGAATTTAGTGGTTTAGGATATATTTCTCTTAGAACCCATCAATAAGAGAATTCATCTGACAAGGTTGGGATTAGAATTACATTAATACATGTGAAGTGCTATTAGAATGATATCAAGTATTTAGGAAGTACTTATGAATCAGGTGGTCTTAATGTGAATATTATTACATGAGTGTTATCCCAGGAGAGTTTAAATTATTATGTTGTCATATTTATTACAGAGATAAAGCAGCTAGACGACTCTCTTATGTTATAAACCCTCTTCAAGGTCAT